TGTCACATTCGGTGCAAATCACTGGCAAGGTCAGTTTCCTCACTTACACATAATGAACGATCATTTTATCGCTCACTGATATAAAACTCGACGAAATCAGTCTCTTTTTTTTTCTTCTGATCATGAAGAAACCACTGCCTATCCAGAGAAGATGCACAGAGATGTCCAGGTCTGTAAAAGGTGAAAGTTCTCTTGTATATCTCACATCAGGTACATTGCCTATTTCTAAAGGAAGTTAAATTTTTGTGTTATTTACCGAACACATGTTTTCTTTCACGTGCATAGTAAAGGTGGTAGATTCCAAGTAGGGAAAAGTGGCAAGCAGGAAGGAAGGTTTGCTAACGCAGTTTGTTTTATTGCCTTTGGATTGTTCCTCCGTTCATTTCTTGATGATCTCTCCCATTTTACATGTCTAGGAATCATTCTTATTTTTCCGCAAAAACCTTGATAAAGAAGCTTTGCAACTGGCATATTGTTTGCCTGGTAGCCATCAGTGCGAGCTGCAACAAAGGGCTATTTCCCGAGTGATGCTTCGCCATGGCTTTATAAAGCGTATCACTGAATTTTGCCGTGTGACGCAACTTCTTTTTTCAGTATCCGGTGAACAAGTTTATAGAGCTGTTGGGTTTCGACGATCGTGATGCAGTGCTGCAGTTTTTAGAATATTATGGCGTACGACGCATCAATGATCCGGATACTGATGAAGAACTGATGCTGATATCGAAAACGAAATTGATTGAACCAGTTGAGGAACCGCTGCGAAGAGTCCATTCCTGGATTGAGTCGAAACGCAACGGACAGACCCTTACAAAAGTAGGCATCCACTGCTGCATTTTATGAAAAATTGCTCTTTCGTCTTTTAAGGTGGTTTTTGCCCGGTGGAATTTTTTTAATTTAAGATTCTGAGTGGTGGGTCCGATGTGGATGTTGTAATTTCGACTCCAACAAACTCGTTTGACAAGCGTGGCGCCTATGTGTCAGATGCAGTGCTGGATAGCTATATTAGTGCTAGCGGAACAGATTTTACGTAAGTCCTTTTCTTAAATTAGCTAAAATTTTATCGATAAGAGAATAGGGCGAGGCATAACAAAGCATTTTTGTTCTTTATATGGATGATTTGATTTAACTTGGATCCGGGTTTGGTCAAAAATTGGGTTAATTAGGTCTTTGGGAAATTGGTTTAATTAGGGACCTTTAACTAGGTCTTTGGGTTTAATTAGGTTAGATTAATTAGGTCTGAATGGCAAATGGTTTAGAGGATCCAAATGTTTTCATTCATTTAGCAGTAAATTAAAAAAATTGTGCTTTGGTAAATATTGAGAAGTTGGAAATTTCGCCATATTACTGAATCAGGCTGAGGAAAACTTGACTGTATAATTTATTGTTCTAGCATGGCAACAAACGAAAATGAAGTTGTATCTCATGCATTTACATTATTTAGCAAAGCAAATCGTGCAGCGAATGAATCAGTTAGTTTTTTTTTTTTTTTTTTCTCTTTTTTTTTAAAAGATTTTGAAGAATTGGAGACGAGAAGTGTAATTCGTAAGAATAAAGAAGAGGGAAGGAGCTGGAGTTTATATGCGCTGCTGCGGAAAAGTGGTGCAGCAGGAGGAGGAGTAAGGTAAGCGTAGGACAGAAAAGAGATCGATGATGCATTTTATTATGCAAATTGTTGATAGCGCATAAAGCTGATATATTTTCAGATTGATACATTGGCTGAAAATTTAGCAGCAGAAATTATAAACGCTGAAGTTGGAAGGATATGTAAGCTAATATATAGCAAGTCATTGGCCCATCCATTAACCACGACGCTTTTCAACCAAATTTTTGAAGACTGCTTAAAGTTAGTGCTTTTTTGAAACTTAAAAAAACTCTTTCACACTAAGCATTGGACTTTCTGCAAAAAAAAGAGAAAATTGCAAGTTAGTCCTCAAATATGCATGCTTGCGACTTATGTGAGGGAAAATCGGCTCCAAACTCGCTGGCAGAAAAGTAAGTGAATGAAGAATCCCTACTGTCCACGTTTCAACATGCGAGATGTGAGTTATTCCGCTGAACTGCTGAAATATTACTCTGTTTGAAACAAAAAATACAGATATTTATGGGTTAGATGTAGAATTGAGCAGGAAAAATAGAGCGGAGTGGATACCCTTCAGCAATTTAAAAAATAGTTTTTCCAACTTGAAATAGCACCGATTGTGATGCCTATCGAATCCGGTATTTTACCAATTCATGGGAAGAAGAAAATGTTAACAGTGATTAAATAAGTTATGGGGAGACGCATGGTAGGTATCAGCAAGATACAGAACAATTTCAAAGAGATACTGCGATTAAGGGCTGGCGTGTGTAATTTTACCAAGGGAATATATGTCATAAGAGCCAGACTTGTGGTGTAAGTGGCAGAGAGATGAACAAGACGGATTATTGAATGGCACTCTAGCTATATTAGTATAATTAAGATTAGCTGTATTAATATAATGAAAGCCGCCATTGCCGTATAAAGATCCACATGAACGCTTAATGAGAGGCCTAAAAAAGAGGAATGGAAGAGTTTCGATTTGCACTGACGTGCAAAGAAACGCGGTGATGAAACAGTAGTTAATTAAAGTATACGTTGTAAATGTTTCATATATTTGATTCAGAACAATACCGGGCTTGGTAAGGGGAATTAGAGGAGGATAAGAGGAAAAAGAACGAATTTGTGAAGAGCGGAAGAGTGGGCCAGATCATTGGATCGGTCGTTTTAGTACGCTTATGTTTTCTGGGAAAGCAACTGATAAGTTTTATTTTTTAGCATCAGTTCTGTATTTTACAGATCCTGTTGTAAAGAGGTAATGATGGCTGCCAAGCTTCATCATCGGCATAAATTAGCGGGCGATGCAGTGAGGGATAAAATTCGATCGCTTTGGACTTCCATGAGCGATTCAATTTTGGATGAAGTCATTAGTACTGCTGTTTGCAGTGCCACTAAAACAACAGTCAGGTGGGATTATTTTGTAATCTTTACGGGACGACCTAGTTCAATTGGATGATAGGGAGTTCTGTATTCATGTGTGTTTTGAGATTCAAGCGCATTTTTACAAAACATACTTAAGATGTGGTGTTTA